ACATGGTGAAACCCCGTCTCTACTAAAAATACAAAAATTAGCTGAGCATGATGGTGGGCATCTGTAATCCCAGCTACTTGGAAGGCTGAGGCGGGAGGATCGCTGGAACTTGGAAGGCGGAGGTTGCAGTGAACCAAGATCACACCATCGCACTCCGGCCTGGGTGACACAGCGAGCCTCTCTCTCTCTCTAAATAATAAATAAATAGAGCATCAGTAGAGCAAAAAGAAAAGCAAGAAACAGTAAGCAAGTGTGGTAAGGAAGAGTATAATATGCAATAGCAGGTTTTGACACAGCCAAAATATCAATAATCTCGATGGTAGTGCATCGGGGCCCATTGAGATGGCTCACGCCTGTAATCCCAGCACTTTGGGAGGCTGAGGTGGGAGGATTGCTTGAGCTCAGGAGTTTGAGACCAGCCTGAGCAACGTGGCGAAACCCCGTCTCTATAAAAAAAATAAAAAATGGGCCAGGCGCGGTGGCTCACGCCTTTAATCCCAGCACTTTGGGAGGCCGAGGCGGGCGGATCACGAGGTCAGGAGATCGAGACCATCCTGACTAACACAGTGAAACCCCGTCTCTACTAAAAATACAAAAAAATTAGCTGGGCGTGGTGGTGGGCGCCTGTAGTCCCAGCTACTCAGGAGGCTGAGGCAGGAGAATGTTGTGAACCCAGGAGGCAGAGCTTGCAGGGAGCCGAGATCACGCCACTGCACTCCAGCCAGGGCGACAGAGCAAGACTCTGTCTCAAAAAAAAAAATAAATAAATAAATAAATAAATAAAAATAGAAAAATAAAAAATGGGCTGGGCATGGTGGCTCACGCCTGTAATGCTAGCACTTTGGGAGGCTGAGGTGGGCAGACCACCTGAGGTCAGGAGTTCGAGACCAGCCTGGCAAACATGGCAAAAAGCCGTCTCTACTAAAAATACAAAAATTAGCTGGGCATGGTGGCAGGTGCCTGTAATCCCAGCTACTTGGGAGTCTCAGGCAGGAGAATCGCTTGAACCTGGAAGGTGGAGGTTGCCGTGAGCCGAGATCTGGTCACTGCCCGCCAGCCTAGGCGACAGAGTAAGACTCTATCTCAATCAATCAGTCAATATAAATAAATAAATAATTAGCCCGGTGTGGTAGCACATGCCTATCCCAGCTACTTGGGAGGCTGAGGTGGGAGGATCTACTGAGCCTGAGAAGGCGAGGCTGCTGTGAGCTCTGATGGTGCCACTGCATTCCAACCCGGGGAAAAAAAAGAGACAGGCCCTGTTTCAAAAAAAAAAAAAAAAAAAAAGAGTGAATAGGCTATGACCTTCATGACCCTGAGCCCTGAGGCTGGACAGAACACACCAGACAACATGTGACCAGATATGGTTCATACAAGTCAGCTACAAGGAAATAAACTGCCCCAAGAAGACCCTGGTTCTGGGTTGGTGGGCTCAGGTCGTAGCTTGGAGAGACAGTGGCAAACTGAGTCAAGTTACGCAATATTTTTCCGCCTGCGGCCAGAAGGACAGTCTCCCTTGATTGCCTGGGAAGGCAGTCAGGGCAAATCAGTATCCACGGGCCAAAGGGAGCACTTAGAGGCCAACTCTGAGTATTAAACGCTCCTGTGTTAACTCTCCTACAGGAAAACGCCCTCTGCCACCTCTGTAGGCCTGTGCCTCTCACGCGGCTGCACCAGACCTCCAAGCACCACTCCGAACCAGACGTTCATTCTTCTCTGAGAGTAAACCCCAGCTCAGCCAGGCATGCACACGGCCACAGATAACCCAAAGGGGCTCGGCTTTGTTTTCTTTATCCAGAAGCTCTTCAAAATGCTACAAATGTTATCAGCTCACTAAGTGGGATAGTCCGCAGACGCTCTTTTATTTATTTTTTTTGAGATGGAGTCTCGCTCTGTCGCCCAGCCAGTCGCCCAGGCTGGAGTGCGGTGGCGCGATCTCGGCTTGCTGCAAGCTCTGCCTCCCGGGTTCACGCCATTCTCCTGCCTCAGCCTCCCGAGTAGCTGGGACTACAGGCGCCGTCACCTCACCCAGCTAATTTTTTGTATTTTTTAGTAGAGACGGGGTTTCACCGTGTTAGCCAGGACGATCTCGATCTCCTGACCTCGTGATCCGCCCGCCTCGGCCTCCCAAAGTGCTGGGATTACAGGTGTGAGCCACTGCGCCTGGCCCACAGAAGCTCTTATAGTTCGTATAAGCTCTGCCTGCTCAGCTGAGACTCTGTGGTCAAAGCCAGGACACACGGCCAGAGCAGGCATCTATGTGGCCCCTGACTCTCTCCAGTTCCTGACCCCCATGCACAGCTGCAGCAGGAGCTCATGGCTTCCTTTGCTGAAGTACTTGGTGCTTTCCCAGGCAGGACCTCACTAGCTTATAATTACAAATGACGTGCTGGGATTGGTTCTGCCACACGCAGGTAACACTACTTTAGTCCAGGGCCTCCTGCAGGAGAAGGCCAGGCTATCAGCTCTTGAGGACTTAATGATACAAAGACCTTAAGAGACAAGGGGACCACCACACAGAGGCTGGTCCGGTGGCGTGCAGGAGGCAGGAGGTTTCTAGAATGGGGGCAGGAGAGCGAATGCCAGAACAGAATGGAAGACAGGAGTTCAGAGAAGGACAAAGGAATGAAAACTGGATTCATTCATTTGTCCATCCAGTGCTAAACGTGGGACGCGGTGCTGAGACGCCGGCTGTCTCCCAGTCGAGCTGGACACGGGGTGAGCAAAGGGACAACTCTACTTGCCAAGGGGTCAGGGAGGAGAGAAAGTCGGGCCCTGGACACCTCTTCCCAGAGGGAAAGGCTGGGCCAAGGCCTGAGGCAGCGAGGGGAGGTGGGGAAGAAGCTGGGCAGGAGTGTTTCTTTGCAGGGCTGGAGGAAGGCTGTGACCCAGCCGCACAGGGCAGGAAATCTCCCAGACAGGAGTGAGAGGGCCTGGGGGATGGGCGGGCGTCAAAAGACAGAGGCTCAGTTCAGCTGCCCCAAGACTGGGAAAGCAGGCACTTCCTCCAGGCTGGGCCACCTCAGGTCAACCTTACTCTGGCCTCAGTTTCCCCATTGCACTGAAGGGAAGTGAAAAGGCAAAGACTTTGAGCTCTGTGCATGAAAGGCTCAGCCATGGCTCAGACCACCACTCCTTATAAAACAGGGTGGATGCCGCCGCTGCTGTTTTTGGCTGCTGAGTGGCCCATCTCACCTCTTTGAAGATGAAACATGCTGAGGCCTAATGAGGAGTCAGTTGGTCGGGGTGGGCGTGGAGCCCAGTCACCTGCCCCACCTGGCCCCTCCCAGTCAGAACAGCGCCCAGCCCAGGGGCCTGTTTCACACTTCTGTGCCCGCGCATCCTCCTCTGCCCGGGGCTCCCTCACTCAGAGGCAGAGGTGTAGGGGAGCGCAGCAGAGGTGTAGGGGAGCGCAGCAGAGGTGGTCTGAGGTGGTCTTGGGCTGCAGTGAAGGCCTTCTGAGAGCTGCCTGGGCCTCGCCTGCCCCTCCACTGCCCGGACCAGTGCACACTACCCTTTGGGGCTCTGCCGAGCTGCACAGTGCCTCCACGTTTTCAGGCCAAACAGGTCATTTCCAGTATGGAGGCCGACCGGGGGAGGCTTTCAAACCTCCTTTAGGTATGTGAGAATAGTCCTCTAAAGAAAAGACATCCTCAGCCTGCTCGCTGTCCTTCCCCAGCTGTTGAAAGGACGTCTTCTGCCGCCTACATAGCCTCTGAACCACGGCGAGTCAGGCAGGAACCACACCTCTGCTAGGTGAGGCCCAGGACTGGCCCCCAAGGTGCCTGCAGGCCACACTCTCCACTTAGCCAGACCAGACGTGACCCTCTTTCCTCTCTCTCGCCACTCACCTTCTTGTTCCTTGCCCCCTGCCCAGGCCTCCTCGATTTCTATTCAGACAGACCACCCCAGGGCTGACCCCCACCTCCTCCTAGAGGCCCCATAACCAGCCTATAACCAGCCGTTTCTGGGGAAATACTTGGCACAAGAGAAGGGGCATGCAGACAGCTCGCGCTCTCCTGGGAGGCAGCAGCCTCATAAAGGCACTACTATGAGGCACAACCAAAAGACAACTTTCCCCACGTTTCAGAAGAGGAGCGTGCACCTGGGGATAAGCATCTCTCTGTATGGTTCATTTGGGTTCATTAAGCAATTAATCCATTTATCTGATTTGCAGAGTGATGCCCAAAGGTTGGACTTCTGTAGCAACATCCAGCCTCCAAGTGAGTTTCTGGAATTACCACCTTCCCCAATTACGACGATCCCTATCTCCATTCTTCATCCCCGAGTCCCCAGGGGCAGGAGAGTGCACCGAGGTTTAATCCCTGTTCCCCAGGAAGCTGGGCCTGGGACGCCCACTCTGAAGCCCTCACACCCACCACCATCCCTGCTCTGACACTCACTCAGGGACTTACAGGCCTCACTGTTCCAAACTCCACAACCTGCAGGCCCTGGGGCACCTTGTTGCTCCTGACTCCCATCAGAGCTTGGCTTTCAGGAAAGCTGGGCAATGTCTGGGAAGTCAATTAGGAAAAACTGGGGACAGGCCAAGGACTCAGCCTCAGTGGTACCCACAGTGAAAATGAATAGGGAGGCTGGGCCCAACTCTGCCTGCAGAAGGGATGCCCTGCACGTCTAGACAACCTGCGCTTATCCTGAGGTGCTCCCATCCCCTCGCTGGCACCCAGCTCCTGCATCCTCCCTAAACTATGCTGTAAGGCTAACTGACAACCCCAGATCAACAGAAGGCACACCAGCAGGGACAGGCGGACATTCGGCCCCAATGCCCGCACACAGGGCGTCCCCCGCCTGCGGCACGGGTAACAGCACTAATTACAGGTGAGACGCTGAGCACCTCCGCTCAACACAGGGAGGCAGCCTGTTGGTCTGCCCTGGCATGGCCCTGGGGCTCTGGAAGGACCCGCAGGCCGCAATGTGCACAGCCCTGCCTTTCCCTGTTACTTGTGGTGGAGGCAGGCGGGTGCTGGGCGCTCACTCACCTTGTGGTCCAGGTCGGCACTAGCCTTTGGCTGCTGCTCCTGGGAGGGCGGCAAGGGCACAGAGCCCAGGTACTGCCTGAGAGATGATGGCCTCATGAGGCCCAGGAGCCGGCTGAGCGAGGACAGCTGGGGAGGAGAAAGGAGGTTGTCACTCAGAGGGCAGTGACCAAGCTGAGAGCTCGGGATACTCCCAGGACTTGGCCTGGACACCTCAGCTGATGGCAGTGGGTTAGAGCACTGGCTTCTGAGACCCAGACCCACCTCTCACTTATGAACTGTGGTCTCCCAGATTCTGAGTGTTCTCATCTGTAAAATGGATCACACATACTTCCCAGGAGACGAGGGGCACCCACACATACCCAGCTCCCCCACCCCCAACCACACACAGACCCACACACACACTCATCTCCCCACAGACCGGACACCCACCCACTCACCCTCCCCACACCCACACATATCCAGGCCTCCCACCCCCCACCCACCCACCCACATACAGACCTACATCCACACCTACTCACCCCCCCCAACAGACCCCACAACCACACCCACCCACCCACCCACCCACCCATACACACAGACCCCTCCACACATATCCACTCATCCCGAGACCTCCACACTCCCCCACCCCATCCACCTACCTACTCACCCACACATATACCCGCTCACCCACATACAGACCTACATACACACCCACTCACCCCCCCCGACCCCACACCCCCATCCCCCCCCCTCCCCCCCCCCCCCCACTCCCACCCACATTCACCCACACCCATCCCCACCCACCTTCCCTTGCTTGCATCCCTCTCTTTTGGTTTAACTCTTCTCTGTGGCCTAACCCTGTGTCTTCAGCCCCCGCCTTCCACTCCCCTTCCCACTCTTTTCCTTCCAGGGGATTTTAAAGCAAATACATTGTATCATTTTACCCATAAAGAACTTCTACAGAAAATATAAGGATTTCCCCCCAATCTAATCATAATACCATTTCTTTCCTAACAGAATCGCCGACTTCCTTATCATCATCCAACACCTGTGTTCAGTTTTCTGTCTCTAAAAGGTCCTCCAACACTGTTCTGTTTGAAGGGAGATTCACCACAAGGCCCACACGCTGCATTTGGTTGACTATGGCACCTAATCTATCAGCCGCCCCCGCCCCCATTTAGTTTTTGAATAAACTGCCCAACCTCTCTGAACAAACAAGCTCTGAATCCCTCTGCAGGGAACGTGACCTGCGTAAGTCCAGGTGTCTACAGTTAGCCACTCCTGGCCCAGTGTATGCACTTGATTTGGGTAGCGTGGGCCCAGCCCCAGCAAGGACTGCCCAGCTGCCCTGAAGCTAATTCTCGTTGTAGCAGAGGCACGCAGGCTCCCAGCCCTTGGCCTCTGTGAGGCCACGACAGCCCTGGGGGCAGGGCGGGGAGTAAGTGGGAGCAGAGCCAAGGTAGTTCAGAGGCACCATCTCTTTAGATGGCACAGGAGCAGGGTGATCACAGGCTAGGGGCTTGAGCCCCACAGCCCAGCCCCCCGCTTGAGCCTAGCCTGGCTGGCACACCTGGCTTCCTCCGGTGACTCACCCACCACCTGCTCAGCACATCAGCCGGTTATGGGCTGAGACAGCCCACAAGAGCAGCTGGGCTGGGGGCTGGGGGCTAGGAGTCAGGCTCAGGGCCTTAGCTTCTGGAAGGTGGCCAGGGCTTCTCAGCCTGGTGTCTGATCCCTTTGGGAGGGGAGAGGAAGGTTCTGGGCAAAGAGAGGCACCATCTGGGGCTTCATCCAAACCACAGCTGTGCCGCCTTCCTCAGGCTTCACAAGTCAAGAGAGTTTCCAAAACAGCCCTGCCCACTCCGGGCTCACAGCTGTGCAAGCACAGGGTCAGGCTCTGCAGTCCACACCCCCATCGTGGCCTTCGGGCAGGCCTCGCCCGGCCGGGACCCTCCCTGCTACGGGAGGCCTGGGTGGGGCTGGGCAGGGGCGCAGGGACGGCACTCTTGCGGTGCTTGCTCTCGTGTTTTTCCTCTCACTCATGAAAACAGCTTGGCTGTGCTCAGCGCAGCAAGCTGCTGCCCCTGCGATCTGCCTGCGCCGTCGTGCCTTCCGACTGTTTATTCCCTTTTGTTTCCATCTCTGGATGCTCCAGCCAGTCTCTCTCCCACACAAACCCCTCTCCAGGATAAGGGCTTGTTTGTGCCTTGCGGGAACCCGCGGGGATGGGTCAGATCAGAACCCTCCCTATCTCAACCTCACTGCTGGCAGCTGGCTCCGCAAACACTCAGCCGCTTAGGGCAGACACTGAGAACGAGAAGCAAGGATCCCTCAGAAAGACAGGCCTCCACCAGCCTTCTCAGAGGCAGGGAAGATGTGGTGGAAGCTGATTTCCAGAGAAGCAACTGGCCACACAGCATGTTCCTGGGTGCAAATCCTGGCTTCCTCCTCACCTAGGACAGGAAGCCAGGATCTTAAGTGTCTGCAAAGACCCAACGACCTGCCTGCTGCTCCCTGGAGCTGGTGCCCTGCCTGGGCCTTCTGACCAGACACAGCCCCCGCCTCTCTCCCTTCCAGCTGTTGCTCCACACCCACCTTCTCAGTAAGGCCCACCTGCCCAGGTATCCACCCACCCACCCACCCACCCATCCATCCATCCATCATCTATCTACCTAATCTATCTACCTACCTATTTACCTACCTACCTACCTACCTAGACAGAGTCTTGCTCTGTCGCCTAGGCTGGAGTGCAGTGGCGCAATCTCTGCTCTCTGCAACCTCCACCTCCCGGGCTCAAGCAATTCTCCTGCCTCAGCCTCTCGAGTAGCTGGGATTACAGGTGGCCACCACCAAGCCCAGCTGATTTTTGTAGTTTTAGCAGAGACAGGGTTTTACCATGTTGGCCAGGCTGGTCTCAAACTCCTGACCTCAAGTGATCCACCCACTTTGGCCTCCCAAAGCGCTGGGATTACAGGAGTGAGTCACAGTGCCTGGCCCCTTTGCAATTTACTTGCTTTTTATCACCTATTCCCCCTCCCTCCCTGGAATGTAAGCTCTCTGAGGGCAGTTTTTTCACTGCAAAGTCCCCAGAACCTAGAACCATGCCTGGCACATGGTACACGTCTAGTAAGTATTTGTCAAAGGAACGAATGAATGAATAGATGAACAGTCGAGACTGCAGCTAATGTTTTCTGAGTAGATGCAAACATTTATCCCCCTTGATTTGAGTCACTTGAAGCCCACGTTTTCCAAACCCCAAACTGGAAGACATACTTTGACAAGAGGTTTACTGTGTTGCAAGAAGTGCCCCAGGATAAGAAGCAAACTCCTGATTTCCTCTCCAAACCTGCTCCACCTGCGTCTTGCCTAGGGTAGGCAAAGGGCGTCTCCATCCCGCCTGTTGCACAGACCTGGAGTCCTTGTCTCTGTTCTCTTGCATTGCACATCCCACTGTCTGTACTTGGGAAATGCACCTAGAACCTGACCATTTCTCACCGCCCACACTGCTATTTCCCCAGGCCAAACCACTGCCATCTCTTGCCAGGATTACTGCAATCACCTTCTTCCTCTCCACTCCCAGTAGTCCCTTCTCAACACAGCAGCCAGAGTAATTTTTAAATATTTTATAAACCAGATTTTGTTTCTTCTCTGCCCAAAACCTTGCAGGGGCTCCCCACTTCTACGTAAAAGTCAAAACCCTCACTGTAGCCTTGAGGCTGTGGCTAACTGAACCTCCACTTGCCTGTGTGACCTCAATGCTGTAAGTCCTGTCCTTCAAGTTCAGATCTCCAACGTGTGCTTCTGCTCCTGCTCCATGGGACCCCCGTTGCAGCTTGCGGGAGATACAGAGCCCAGCAACTTGGCCATCATTGCAGCTTGCAGGAGATACAGAGCGCAGCAACTTGGCCATCGTTGCAGCTTGCGGGAGATACAGAGCGCAGCAACTTGGCCATCGGCGACTCCTGCCCATCAGTGCCCTGCCAACTGCTGTGCCCAGATCCAGCCCCGGGTCCTCTGCTCCTACACCAGTCAATTCTCAACCCCTGTGCCCCCTTTCACAGTGAATTGATTGATAGGATTTCTCCAGCACTTGTGCACTGATGAGGGAAAGGAGGGACGGTCCTTGTCCTCCTGTCTGTTAACTGGGACTAAAGCCCAAGGACCCAGCAGGGCACTCTACCATGAAGTACTGGGTGTGGTCCAGGATGTCCAGAGGCAAGGAGAGAGCTGGACAGGCTAAGGCGGTGCCCTGCAGTGGTCAAGGGCAGGACTTTAATCCCAGCTCTAGGCTGGGTACGGTGGCTCATGCCTGTAATCTCAGCACTTTGGGAGGCTGAGGCAGGAGGATCGCTTGAGCCCAGGAGTTCGTGACCACCCTGGACCACATGGCAAAACCATGCCTCTATAAAAAACACAAAAATTCACTAGGTGTGGTGGTGCACACCCACAGTCCCAGCTACTCGGGAGGCTGAGGTGGGAAGACCACTGAGCCAGGGAGGTTGAGGCTGCAGTGAGTCGTGATCACACCACTGCACTCCAGCCTGGGAAAGTGAGACACTGCCTCAAAAATAAAATAGTCTCGGCTGTGCCACTTCCCTGTTGGGTGACCCTGGAAAGTTTTGCTATCTGTAAAATGTGGATGACAGTAAGTCTGAGGGCCTGGGGCTGCTAGGAGGGGCGAGTGCTGAGGACAGCAGCCAGGACATAGCTGTGCTGTGCACACAGGAGCTGCCACTGTTGCGTGTTGGGGGTGGCAGGTGGAAAGGAAGAGGCGGCCCAGACACAGCCAGAGCTGTGTGCAGAGAGCAGGCAGGGCCTGTGAGGAGGCTCAAGGAGAACACACGGCACTAGCAAGCCCCGTGGAGGAGACGCTGGGAAAGGGGCATGTGGGCTGAGTGGGCGGCTGTGGGGACGAGGTGGCCCTTTGAAGGAGTGTTTCAGGAAGGTCTGACAGGCCAGACTGGAAAGGGGAGTGCCTGGCAGCCTGAATACCTGGGAGGAGGCTGTGAGCAGCCCTGGGCTTGCAGTGGAGACGGGGAGGGAGCTCCAGGAAGGCCACGGGCAGGCCCCTGCCGGTCCTTCCTATCCCTCCGGTCGCCATGAATCTCACTCCCTTTCTCCCTTGTGCAGTACAAGCACTGACTCAGCCTCCAAGACCTGGCTCAGGGCATCTTCTCTAGCAGCCGCCGCACTGTGCCTGGGCAGAGTTAGTCACTGCGGCCATGGCCGACTTGCTCACCCCTCTCTTCTGAGGTCATCTGGTGCTGTCTCCCCAGTGCCAGTACCTGGCACAGAGCCTGGCACTCAGGTGGCTCAGCTAGTGTCTAACGAACACACGGGTGCATGGTGGGCACACAGCAACTGGCCTGGACCTGGCTTGGCCCTGACAGGCTGCAAGACCCTGGCCCCTGGGGAGCCTGCGAGACCTGCCGGGCCAGGCTCTCTCAAGGGGAGGCAGTGCCACTCCATGTATCTTTTTTCTTTTAAAGAACAAAACAGAACAGGGTCTTGCTTTGTTGCCCAGGCTGGAGTGCAGTGGAGCCATCACGGCTCACTGTAGCCTTGACCTCCAGAGCTCAAGCCATCTTCCCACCTCAGCATCCCTGCCCCAGGTAGCTGGACTAGAGGCACATGCCACCATGTCCAGCTAATTATTTTACTTTTTGTAAAGAACCCCTGGGCTCAAGTGATCTTCCCACCTCAGCCTCTCAAAGTGCTGAGATTACAGGCATGAGTCACTCACTGCCTCCTGCGCCCCCATTCCCCAGGTTTGTTTTTTTTCAGCAAAGGTGTCTGGCTCTGTTGCCCAGGCTGCAGTGCAGTGGTGTGATTATAGCTCACTGTAGCCTCCAACTCCTGGGACCCACAACCGTCAGCCCTTCCTCCATGACACTTCCCCACTGCCACTCTGACCTCCACCAGGAAGGCAGCCCCACCAAGCTTTCCTCACTCCGTGCACAGCTGCTGGCCAACAAAAAACAAAACGAAGCAAAACGCCAATCCTTGAACTGGCTCTCATTCTCTCTCTCTGGCCACCTGTGTTGTGCCCCCTCTGGCCTCCACTCTGCGCTGGGCCTGTCCCTCAGTCTGCGTCCCAAAGTCCTCCCAAGCACCCCATCTTGGGCTCCCCCTGCCTGTAACTGCTGGTTGTTCCCAGCCACACGTCTGCGTCCCTCTGTTCTTCCTTCCTCACAGAGACCATCTGTGAAGTGACCTCAGTGCCGGTCACCTCCTCACTGCCCCTCCCAAGGTCTCAGCCTGGGGCACATTCTCCCCATGCACCCCAACAACCCACCTGGGTGCCCGTCCCTTCCACAAGCGTGCACTGCCTTCCCGGGGTGTGCCAGGCACTGCCAGGTGCCGGGGGCAGCAGGGGGCAGAAACTGTGTGTTCCAGGTTCTTCAGGGGCTTACGTTCTGCTTGGGGGTAGGGGGTGGAAAACACAGATGCTGAGCAAACAAACAGGAAAAATCAGGGGGTGGCCCCCAGGAGTGACTTAGGACAAGATGAAAGCCAGTGCTGGGGCACTCTGGATCGGGTGGCCAGCAAGGCCCCTTGCGGAGATGACATTTCAGCTGGAGTGGGAACGACAAGCAGCTCCAGCCCGACTAAGGCCTGGGGGAAGCACTCAAAGCAAAGGGGGCATCTGAGGCAAAAGCCGGGGCAAAAGCCAGGCTGAAGCCGCTCAGACAACCCAACCCCGCCGGTCACTTCTCTGAACTCTCTCCTTGCAGTCACAGCACCCGGGACGTGCCGGAACATTGTCTCAGCCCTTTGGGCAAGGCGTTATGCGGCCTGAGTGGTAGAGCTGCATAGACTCTAGCCAGAGTACCCCTAGCGTGGCTGAGCTGGAAGGGTCAGCTGTACCTAGCAGCTGTTCTTCCAGGACTACGCTCAACCTCCCTTCCATCCATGCTTGGTCTGCCAGTGACCCCTTCATCACCTCGTGATGTCCTCTGAGCTGTCAGGAGGCTGCAGCCAGAGCGTTTTGGAGAGAAGAGGAACAGGACAGGAAGGCCGAACTCTTTTTTTTTTTTTTTTTTTTTTTGAGACAGAGTCTCGCCCTGTTGCCCAGGCTGGACTGCAGTGGTGTGATCTCGGCTCACCGCAACCTCCGCCTCCCGGGTTCACGCAGTTCTCCTGCCTCAGCCTCCCGAGTAGCTGGGATTACAGGTGCCCGCCACCACGCCCGGCTAAGTTTTTGTATTTTTGGTAGAGACGGGGTTTCACCATGTTGGCCAGGCTGGTCTTGAACTCCTGACCTCAAGTGATCCACTGGCCTTGGCCTCCCAAAGTGCTGGGATTACAGGCGTGAGCCACTGCGCCCAGCTCAGAAGGCCGAACTCAATGCCCTTGCTGCCCTAACAATGCCTAACACTGGGGACTAGGAGGGGACATCAGAGGGAGTAGTTTCAATGTAATCGTATTTGTTTTCATCTTTACAAATAGTATTTGTTTTTATTCTTTACTATAAAAAATAACAACAAGCAAACGGGCTGGGGACATTGTTGGGGGCTGTGTTTAGCGAGCGTAGGTTTCAGTGTGGATAGATGAAAGAGTTCTGGAGAGGGATGCTGGTGGCGGCTGCACAACCGTGTGGATGCACTTCAGGCCCCTGAACTGTACACTTAGAAATGGCTGAAATACTACGCTTAAGAATGGTTAAGATGATTACAAAAAAATTAAATAAATGAATTTAATTCATTTATTTGAATTAAATGCTCACTGCAACCTCCGCCTCCCGGGTTCAAGGAATTCGCTGCCTGAGCCTCCTGAGTAGCTGAGATTACAGGTACCCGCCACCACGCCCAGCTAGTTTTTGTATTTTTAGTAGAGACAAGGGTTTCACCATATTGGCCAGGCTGGTCTTGAACTCCTGATCTCAGGCAATCCTGCCCGCCTCAGCCTCCCAAAGTGCTGGGATTATAGGTGTGAGCCACCACACCCAGCCTTTACTACCGTTTTAAGAAAAGACAGGCTCTCAGCTCACTGCTCTGTCCTCACCGCCTAGCACATGGCTGGCACGCAAGTGGTAATTCTTGATGAAAGAACATGAGTAGAGAGTTCAGATCCAGCTTAGGTCTCGGCCCTGACGTTCCTGGCCTTTGGGGAAAGGCTCCAGAGCCCACAGGCCGTGGCTTCCTGCCCAGGCCTGAAGCAAACACTCACCTGGGTCTTCTCTTGCCAGAGAGGGAGTGTCTCCTGCTGGCCCAGCATTCGAGCAATGACCACAAGGCTGAGTTGGCTTCGAAGCCGCCTGGGGGAGAAGCAGCGACAGCTTAAGAGGGGGTGTGCTGGAAATCGGGGAGCCCGAGCAGGCGGCAGGACACCCATGGAGAGGGGAATTTGCGGGAGCCACCCTCCATCTGGGGTACCCCCCGTCCATCTAGGGTACCCCAAAGGGCTTTCTCCATTGGCTGATAGCATTATTATGTATTCTAGGAGGAATGAAACTCTCAGGATCAGAAAATTAAATAATAAGTCCACACAAAAACTCAAGTTCCTGGTAATTTCAGAGGCCCACAGAGCAGGCAGGGCTTTTCTTAGTTTTTTATCCCCTCTGCCGATACATATCCATGGATCCATAGAAGCAGGGGCGCTGAACTGCTTTTCAATACACCTCTGCCTCTTCTTTCCTTTGTGGCGCCAACCCCGCAGGGTGGGGGAGGCTGGGTGACTGACTTGGCCTGCAGAAGCCAAACTTCTCAGTTTTCTTTTCACCCAGTATCCACTGGGTTTTCCTTGGGGAAATCCATCTCCTGCCAGGCTCCCAGGACAGGCACCTGACCCAGTCACTGAGAGGTGGCCTTGGGCTGTGACTGAACTATCAGCAAAGTGCAGGCGTGTGGGCCTTTCCAGCAGGGTGGCCACGACAGCTGCTGGTGGCCATCCTGCCTCCTGGAGGGAGAACCAGTAAGAGGAAGCCACAGGGAGGCAAAGAGGCTGAGACAGAGCCCTGAGAACGCCCAGAGCTGTGCCTGGAACCCCTGGCCCCTGGACCTCTCAACCCAGCCGTCCATGCAGAAAGGCTCCCTGGGTGAAGGGGAACTGAGGCAGGAATGGTTTCCTCAAAGCTCTGGTGTGGCTGGGATCACAGAGGCACTAATCTAGGGTCTAAAACCCCGGGGCGCTTTTAAACTTTCTTAGGAAAGAGTCAAGAAAGCCAGAGGACTCAGCAAAGCAGCAGACTCTTGGATTTTTCAAAAAGCAGAACAATCAGCAGCAGCACTGCACCCCGGAAGAGCCGACACGAACTGGGGCCACGCCAGGGGCTGGTGGGGGTGCAGCGTGATGGGCGCTCACACGGCTGGCAAGATACTGATGGGTGCACCACTGCCGAAAACTGGCAAGATCTACTGAAGACGTGATGCCCACCCCATGCCCAGCAATCCTACTCCTAGGTACAAAGGTGCAAAAAAAGAGAGGCACTAGAAGGCTTGAGCAGCAGCAGCAGCAGCAGCACAGTGGACAGACGGATCAGACTGCATCCATACGGCTCAGTCCTATGGCGCAGTGGTGATGATGAATGAACCACAACCACCTCCAACAACATGAATGACCTCCAGTGTGGTAGGAAAGCAGCCAGACACAGAAAATATATCTGCATGGTCTCATTTTTTTGTTATTGTTTTCTGAGACAGAGTCTCGCTCCGTTGCCAGGCTGAAGTGCAATGGCATGATCTTGGCTCACTGCAACCTCTGCCTCCCAGGTTCAAGCGATTCTCCTGCCTCAGTCTCCCAAGTAGCTGGGACTACAGTCACGCACGTGCCACCATGCCTGGCTAATTTTTTTTTTTTTTTTTTTTGTATTTCTACTAGAGACGGGGTTTTGCCATGTCAGCCAGGCTGGTCTCGAACTCCTGACCTCAGGTGATCCAGTCACCCTGGCCTCCCAAAGTGCTGGAATTACAGGCATGAGCCACAGTGCCCCGCCAACATGGTCTCATCTATATAAGCTACAAACATGGGCATACCAGTTATCGTACTCCACGCCTGCAGTCCCTGCTACTCAGGATGCTGAGGTGGGAGGATTGCTTGAGCCCTGGAGTTCGTGGCTACCTTGGGCAACACAGCAAGACCCTAACTCTTTTATGCCTGGGTTTAAACGATTCTCCTGCCTCAGCCTCCGAAGTAGCTGGGATGACAGGCACCTGCCATCACGCCTGGCTAATTTTTGTATTTTCAGTAGAGACAGGTTTCACCATCTTGGCCAGGCTGGTTTTTTTTTTTTTTTGAGACGGAGTCTCGCTCTGCTGCCCAGGCTGGAGTGCAGTGGCCGAATCTCAGCTCACTGCAAGCTCCACCTCCCAGGTTCACGCCATTCTCCTGCCTTAGCCTCTCGAGTAGCTAGGACTACAGGCGCCTGCCACCTCGCCCGGCTAATTTTTTTGTATTTTTTAGTAGAGATGGGGTTTCACTGTGTTAGCCAGGATGGTCTTGATCTCCTGACCTCGTGATCCGCCCGTCTCGGCCTCCCAAAGTGCTGGGATTACAGGCTTGAGCCACCGTGCCCGGCCGGCCGGGCTGGTCTTGAACTCCTGACCTCATGATCTACTCACCTCAGCCTCCCAAAGTGCTGGGATTACAGGTGACCCCAACTCTTAAAAAAAACAAATGCAAATGGCAAACTTCAGCTGTTGGAAGCTGGATCCTGGTGACCCTGGGGTGGGGGTGGGGGGCAGGTTCCGATCATGGTCATTTCTTGACCTGGGTGCTGGTTTCATGTACATCGGACTTGTGAAAATGCACTGAGCCATACACTTAACTGTCTTTGCTCTATTCTGATTGTATATTGTAGTTCAATAAAACAATTAAGAAAAAAATTCAGGCCAGGCACAGTGGCTCATGCCTGTTATCCCAACACTTTGGGAGGCCAAAGCGGGTGGATCATTTGAGGTCAGGAGCTCAAGACCAGCTTGGCCAACATGGTGAAACCCCATCTCTACTAAAAATACAAAAATTAGCTGGGCATGGTGGCGGGCGCCTGTAATCCCAGCTACTCGGGAGGCTGAGGCAGGAGAACTGCTTGAACCTGGGAGGCAGAGGTTGCAGTGAGCCAAGATCACATCGATGCACTCCAGCCTGGGCGGCAGAGCAAGACTCTGTCTCAAAAAAAAAAAAAAAAAAAAGAAAAAAAAAGATTCAGCTGGAAGGCAGATAGATTGCTAGATTTAGCAAATTAAAATATAAAATGCCTGGTTAAGCCGGGTGCGGTGGCTCACGTCTGTAAATCCCAGCACTCTGGGAGGCCGAGGTGGGTGGATCAGCTGAGGTTGGGAGTTCAAGACCAGCCTGACCAACATGGAGAAACCTCATCTCTACTAAAAATACAAAATATATACACACTCTCTCTCTATATATATATTTATATATATAGTATAATATATATAATATATAATGTAATATATAGTATTATATATGTGTGTGTATATATATCTTTTTTTGAGATGGAGTTTCACTCTTGTTGCCCAGGCTGACATGCAATGGTGTGATCTCGGCTCACTGCAACCTCCTCCTCCTAGGTTCAAGCGATTCTCCTGCTACTGTGTACTCGCCCAACCCCGCAGCGCCCCTGCGTACTCGCCCAACACCACAGCGCCCTTGTGTATTCACTCAACACTCCCTACTTCCCCCACGCCAGAGTACTGAGGAAAAGCAGCGCCCACCCGGACTGAGCCATAGGATAACGAACGGAAGCCCCTCATTCCCGCTCTACGGCCCCTGCAACAGACCCCCGTGAGTGCAGGCCACCCCCTGGCCCCACACTCAGAGCCCCAAGCTTCAGTTTCTCCCCCACCCACAGGCCTTCGCCTCCCTGTCAGACAGGGCCGGCTTTCCAGCTGTTCAGGAGCCCCGGCAGCAGCTGGGCTGGGAACACAGTGGGAGGTCAACGGCCCCTCTGAGCTGCTCCACAGCGAACTCAAAGCCAGTCAGAAGTCTGCATCTGGGCTTCATTAATCCAAAACCCAAGGCCTGCGCGGGAGCTCGTTTACTCGCAGCGGGCGAGGAGGGCTGGCCCGGTCTGGGGGTGAGGGGAGCAGGCGGGGCCGGCAAAGCAGTGCTGGGGTGGTTCCAGAAGGGAAGAGGCGGGCAGGGCGGGTCAGGATGGGGCTGTTATCCAGAAATGAAGAAAAGCACCAGAAAAAGCACCAAGAGGGTAAATGGATGAAAATACACCCACCTCTGAGTGGCAAGCCCCCTCGCTGTCCCTGCCCGCCCGCTGCCTTTCATCCTGATGGCCCTCCCTGCCTTTTAAACCCAGTCCCGCACTCTCGGTTCCGCTGGGACACAGCAGGAGGCGGGGGCAAGACCACTTTTTTATTTTGCAGACTGAGAACTTATTCCATGGAGGAGAAAAAGAAAAGCCGCACCCCCACACCACCCAAACTGTGCAGGGCGCAAGCAGAGGCGCTGGCTGTGGGCTCTCGCCCCCACAGAAGAGGCCTGACCCCACTTGACAAGGCCTCCCTGAACTCCAGCCACGTTCAGAGGAGGAGGCAGAAGCCATGGGGCCATCCCAGTCACTGTCATATAAGGCAACAGGCTCCAGCCCTGGCGTGCACCAGCCGGGCCAGGCCAGGCCAGGCCAGCCTCTGCCCCCGCCTTGTCCCCCCCACCCACCACGGGCCTCCACAAGACCAGGACACTGGATTAGCACTCAGAGGAGCCGAAGGCACTGAGACATTCAGAAATGACTTTTCCAAACCCGCAGCAGGGTCAGAAGTGGAATGCCAGCACTCTGCTTCCCTCCTCCGCAAGCGGCACCCAGGAAGGCAAAGGCACCACCCACGTGGGCCGCTGGGATGTCGGGTAGTGACATAGGCCAGAACAGCCCCCCTGGAGCCCCTTGTCTTCACTCCCTGGGAGGGGAACTGGGCCCTGCCAACACTGAACTGCCCTAAAAGGCTGTCAGGCACCTGGCCAAAGGCATGAGCTGCCTTTTCCAGTCTCCAGGGCAGCTCAGGAAGCAACAGCAGTGGCTGTTCCACCGTGGCAATGCTGCCTGACGTGCTGCCTCAGGGTGCCCGCCTGGCTCGCACCCTGGGCCTCGTCCATCAGGCTGCCTGTCAGCCACCCGCTCGGCACTCCTTCCCTAGACTCTTCTGTTGTGCACTTGTCAGGTGGGAAGAACCAGGGGGTGGGCTTAGAAGCTGGTTGTCCCTCCTGGGGGTCTGCGAGCCCACAGCCACCAGACTGCCTGATCATCCATAGACCAATCTGAGCACGCACTGTGTGGACGGCAGGAGACAGCGGGACACAGTCGGCCACAGACCCAGAGGAGTGGACCACCACAGGGCAACATGAGGAATCCATCTACAACCACGCACATCGACATGGAGGGGTCCCACGAACCAAGTGTTGAGCCAAGGAAGCCAGACCCACGGGAGAACACTCTGCATGGTCCCATTTATATAAATGTTTAAAAACAGGCAAAACTGGGCTAGGCATGGTGGTTCACATCTGTAATCCCAGCACTTTGGGAAACTGAGGCAGGAGGCTCATTTGAGGCCAGGACTTCGAGGCCATCCTGGGCAACATAGGGAGAACCCATCTCTCAAAAACCAACCAACCAACAAAACAGATAAAATGAATCTATGTGATGGAAGCCACGGAAGTGATTACCTCTGCAGGAGGCAATGCCTGGCAGGGGCCCGACAGCGCTTCTGGGGAGCTGCAGACGTCTGTCCCATGGTCAAGTGGTCCACGGATGCTCTCTTTTGCAAAGAGTATGAAGTGTCCTCCTATAATATGTCCTTCCATTCATACGTGTTACAAGCAAATTAAAAGGTACACATGGACAATCATAGCAACTTCCATTCTCACCTCCCTTTCTTTGTATGATGATAAAAATCACAGAACCTCAGGATTAGAAAACACCTTGAAGTCGGCTGGGCGTGGTGGCTCACGCCTGTAATCCCAGCACTTTGGGAGGGTGAGGCGGGCGGATCACCTGAGGTCAGTTCGAGACCAGCCTGGCCAACATGGTAAAACTCCGTCTCTACAAAAAATACAAAAATTAGCCGGGCGTGGTGACGGGCGCCTGTAATCTCAGCTACTCGGAAGGCTGAGGCAGAAGAATCACTTGAACCTGAGAGGCAGAGGTTGCAGTGAGCTGAGATTGTTTCACTGCACTCTAGCCTGGGTGACAGATCGAGACTCTGTCTCAAAAAAAAAAAAAAAGAAAACACCTTGAAGTCACCTAATCTAGCTTCTGCATAGTTATCCATTTTAATTCTCTTTGCCACACCCCCAGCAAGTGTTCACTTCAGCAAAGAAAGTGCAGTATCTGCCAAGACAGCCCAAATTCATTTACTGGACTAACCAAAGGAAATTGTTCCCACATTTTGCCAAAACCTGCCCTTCTGGGACTTCCACTCAAAGCTTCTGGATCCCATCCTCTGGGGCGTCCAGGAAGGAGCTCTCCACCAACCTAGGTCCTCCACGCTTGGAAGAAGTTGCCACATTCCCGTGGCTGCCCCTTCCTGCAGGCGCCACGGCCCCTCCATTCCCATCTTTTGGCATCTTTTTTTGCCATTTTGGTTCGGGTCCTCTGAGGGCCCTGGGGGTTGTCCATGTTCCCTTTCAAGAGACACTCAGAACTGCGGCTGATGCTCATTTTCTTGGCAGCTCCACAACACAACGCAGTGAACAGATTGAGCCCAAAGTCTTCTTTTTTCACACGTCTTGCTGTCAAATCCCATTTCCCAGATCCTGTTCTTAATTGTGCAGCTGGGCCTCTCTTTTCAACTCAGTCCATCATTACGGTCGGTTGAGATCTTCTGAGATCTTCAGTCTGCTGTCAGTTGTATTCATGTCATCTGTGAATCCGACCATTGTTCCATTAACAGCCTCATCCAAAACACTGGGCCTGCCCTGGTCAACCTGTGAGTGGAGATCAAACTCGGGGTGGTGACAGGGCCTGCCCTCTGGGCACCCTCTGATGGCCAGCAGCACCTTTTGATAATGAACCTGCTTCATTCTATCATCGTTTGGCCTGCACTCCGTCATGCCGAACCCAGGCTATGATGACAGCTTCTACCAAATGCCCAGGAAACCTACATACAGGCACTGCACAGTCCTCTCTGGAGTATGATTCTGGTTGATCTGTGGAAAAGTGAGGCTTGCCTGGTATGATTTCTTGTTAGGACTCCTAGAAGCCAGTGCATCCTTTCCTATGTATGTGCTCCCAAGCCAGAATCCCCTGGGGAATGACGTGGAGGAGCACATCAAGCACCGTCGCCCCATCTCCTGGAAGCCCTTCGCCTCCAAAAGTCCCCATGGAGCCACGGCCCCATCTGCGTGTCTCCCAGCAGCAGGGAGACGTCATCCCGCCGGGGACACAGCCTCCTCTGCACAGCGAGGTCGGCCATGCAGCCTCCCACTCTCTTAGGCTTTAACCCCCTTCGACGACCAATATTTGATTCCAAATGAAAAACTGTTCTTGACGAAGACAACAGAAGCAAAATAGGAATCACGTAGTGTTGCTCTCTCTCCATCAGGGCTAACATTTTACTGTCGGCCCCAAACCACACTCCTTGCTTCAAAAATAACTACACAAAACTCCTTTTATGGCCTTCGGCATTTCCCAACAATACTCCCACTGGTCCACACCCTGTGTCTGGTTGTCTCACTCTGGTGCCCTTCTTTCCAAACCTGAGACCATGAACAAGCTCCGAGGGGAGCCCCTGCAGCCTTTAATGCTTCCCTCCTTTTCCTCACTGGGCTCCTTTGTAATCCATATTCAAAGTTTCAGTGGAAGATCTCCCAGCCCACCTGAAACATTTCTCTTCTTAGAATCTTTTTTTTTTTTTTTTTTTTGAGACAGAGTCTTGCTCTGTTGCCCAGACTGGAGTGCAGTGGCGCAATCTCGGCTCACTACCACCTCAGCCTCCGGAGTAGCTGGGACTACAGGTGCATGCCACCACGCCTGGCTAATTTTCATATTTTTGGTGGACCTGGGGTTTTCACCATGTTGGCCAGGCTGGTCTTGAACTCCTGAACTCAAGTGATCCACCTGCCTTGGCCTCCCAAAGTGCTGGGATTACAGGCGTGAGCCACCGCGCCGAGTCCTATAATCTTTTTAAGTCCTACCTCTTTATGCTTCTTTGAAATCTGCCCTCCAGAAGCAGACACAGCCCGAGGGTGCTGCATGAGTCCCCCCGCCGTGCCAGGCTCTGTAGACTCAGGGAGTACGGTCACAGCACCTGTCCCTCTAATGCTCACGGCCCGTGTCAGCGAGGGGACAGACTGATGGGCCTGCAACACGGGCTGCTCGAAGAGGAGATGCTTTGGCCCGAGCCTCGTCTTGAGGCTGAAGAGATGTGAACCAGGAAGAGGCCCCTCCAGGAGGAGGAGACAGATGCAGAAAAGCTTGGAGGCAAAAGACCATCTTGAGTTGGGGTGGCTGCCAAGTTCCAGGATGCGGCAAAAGCGTGGAAGCCTGCAGGGGGCAGGGTGGCATGTGAGCCTGGGAAAGAGGGCACCAAGCCCCTCCAATCCCAGGCTGCGCTGTGGCATTTCACCCTGAGGGGGAAAGTCTGAGGATTTTAAGCACATCAGTGATATGACCACAAGAGCATCTGAAGGAAGGTCACACTCCGGGACAGCACAAGCTGGAGCTGGTGGAGAGAGCCTGGAAAGAGACGGTAGGATGCTCTGGCGGAAATCCAAGGGGGTTGCAGGAAGAGCTGCACCAAGGCAGCCACAGGGAGGGTGAGGAGACATGAGCACTCTGGGAGACTGGGGAGCTCCAGGGCACCAAAACTGTCCATAGGACTCCAGGCCTGGGCAGTGGGCAGGCGCTGGTGCCACTCATGAAGCCATGGAAGACAGGGAAGAGGTCCTCCTGGGAAGGCGATGACTCCTGTTTCCCACATGCTGAATCCCAGACATTCGCCACACAGATCAGTACTCAGCAGCAAAGTCTGGCCACAGGTATTCATTTGGGAGCTGCTAGCATGTCCCTGGAGTTGAGGCCTCAGATGCCAACGAGATGGTGTCTCAGGCTGGTTTCCCCAGAAAGTAGGCTCTGAAATGGGTATTATCACGCAGGGAATTTACATCGGAAGAGAGGATGCAAGGAATTTATGCAGGAAGAGACAAAGGAAACCTGGCTGCCACGCAGCCACAGTGAAGGCCTCAGCTGACCCCACGAGGACTCCGGAGCTAGTAGGGTCCTTCAGAGACATCCTCAGCTAAGGCAACGCGCGAGACCTTTGTGCCCCAGCACCGGGCTGCTGCCAAGGAAGGGGCCCAGCCCTGGTAAGGTGACCACTTTTGGCAGAGGTGACGCCTGATGTGGGCTGGCACTCCCAGCAGTGGAAAGAGTGCCCCAGTCCAGGATTGGGGCAAGTGGGGGGGCAACCAGCACCCCCAACTTCATGGGCCTGTGCCACAAGAGGGGCTGCGGCGGAATACTGAGGCCCACCAAGACTCGAGGGCTGGTAGGGGAGGGGTATCCCTAAGGGCAGCTGAGGAAGCCAGGAGGGCGCTGGGAAGCCCAGGGAAGTGCTGGCTGCTCATCAGGAAGGGCCCGGGGGTCCCTGGTGATGGAGCAGGTTGGCTGGAGTGCCTGGTGCCACAGATGGTGTCTCCTCAGCTCCTGGCCCTTTAGGTCCCTCAGACACCCCACCCCACCCCTGAGAGGGAGCCGCATCCTCTCCAGCCATTGCCCCTTCCTGGCAATCATGGCCTGACTGCCGCCCACCTTCCCGCTGCTGCCTGCCTCCAGCTCCAGCCCAGGCTCCGGACGGGACCTTCATCTTGCCTCTTGTTCCTCCAGATTTGGTGCCCTTCTGAAATCTCCAGGTTGACTGGGCCTTGACTGCCCCCTTCCAGACGTTCTGGCCTCACTCGCCCACAGTGAGAGCTCTCTCTGATGCTCTGAAGCACTCAACCTGCCTGAGGGTGGGCAGGACGCAGCCATGAGAGAGAACTGGGGGAGGAAGTTTGGAACTGCGGCAGGAGGCAGGAGCGAGAGGGAGATGTGGGTGGAGACAGAATGGCTGTTTTAAGGTAGGAGACACAGGAACGCATTTATTTGCTGCAGAGAAAGCTAGTGAACAAAAAGCAAATGGTACAAGGTTAAGAGATGACTGCAGAAGGCTTTGGGAGAGGCAGGACTGCCGGGATCCAGAATTAAGGGTGCAGTGGGCAGCAGGGAGGTGAGAACTGTGAGAGCACTGCGTTTGTCTAGTGGGGGTGGCTGTTTGCTGGGAGTGCAGAGGCTTCAGCAGCAGGAAGCATGGAGTCTGCTGAGGTCCCCAGGAGGCTGGCCAGGAACTCACAGTGGCTCTGGGCAGCCTGAAGGGGTCACGGGCCAAGGTGGGGACAAGGGACATGCATGTGGCATCACTCTGTTTGGCTGTGCAGTTTCAGGTCTGAGAACAGGCAGGAAGGGAATCCATAGTGGAGAAGGGGTCCAGGTGCTGACCCAGGGCCCGGCAGTGGTGAGGGGAGAAGGAAAGATGGGGCCCTCTCGCCCCGCAGTGAGGAAGTGAATGCAAATGGGAGGGAAATGAGGCGGCCACGGTGCATCTGCGCCTGTCCCCGCTCTTATCCTGGTGTGCAAGGACCTGACGGGCGTGAGGCTGCTCTCCCCCTAGGCTGCCTGCACTTCCGCTCCATCAGTCAGCTCCTCCTTGGCAGCCGCACACCACCACCTTGGCTGGCTGCTCCAGACAGAACACTAAGAGGATCCTGGGGTGCTCCAGAATTCACAAGAAGATAAGAGAACCTGGCCAAGGGACGTGGAGCAGCAGGGTCCCTGCCCAGAGCCTGAGAGGACTGCTGTCCCTGGGTCCTTTCCTCAGGAGCATCCAAGTGGTCAGGCACGGGTCTTGCTCCCAGAGGTGGGACAAAGGAGTGCCTGACTCCTGGCTTCCGTGCAGAGGGGGGTGCAAGGAAGATGCCTCCTCAACACAGGAAGGAAGCCCACACCGCCTGCAAACCTCCATGTATTTCCATCACAGAAAGAGATCAGAAGAAAGCCAAACGCTGTTGGCTTTTACTTATTGGCCAAATATTTACTCAGCACCTGTGATATTCCAGTCTCTGCTCTGTTCTGGGTGCTGGGGACGCAGTCATGCGGGAGATGGAGGGAGCCCTCCCGCCCAGGGAGCTCACACGCGTGGGGAGGGCCGGGTCACAGTTTACTTCTGGTCCTAGTAGTCAGTGGAGAAATATGAGGAAAGGGAGGTTCTGCAGAGCCCTGAGGTGGAAGCTCATTTGGAAAAAAGGATCAGGTGAAGCCTCTCCGAGACAGTGACATGTGGGCAGGGACCACCATGATGAGAAGGTAGGAGTCTCCTACCAACGTGCGGGCATGGGGGAGGGTGGGCACCAAGACACAAGTGCCCAGTGCACCCCGGGGACAGGGAGAAGGGCAGAGAGGGCAGAACCACACTGCAAAGGGGCCTTAGCGGCCACCTCAAAGACTCCAGGCTTCCCTCCAAGATGATGCAAAGTCTTGGAAGATTCTGGAGCAGGGAAGTGACTCAACTGCTTATGACGGCTCTTTTATGGTTCAGTGTTTTAGGTGTCATCATCATGTTGTAATGATGTTTTAAAATACCCACCGAGGGCTGGGCACTGTGATCTCAGCACTTTGGGAGGCCAAGGTGGGAGGATCACTTGAGACCAGGGGTCTAAGACCAGGCTGGGGAACACAGAGAGATCCTGTCTCTACAAAAATTTAAAGAAGTTATCTGGGTGGGATGGTGCACGCCTGTAGTCCCAGCTGCTCGGGAGGCTGCGGCAGGAGGATCACTTAAGCTCAGGAAGTCGAAGCTGCAGTGAGCCTCGATGGTACCACTGCACTCCTGCCCGGGCGACAGATTCCGTCAACAACAACAACAACAACAACAAACCAACCACTAAGACCTTATCTTTTTAGAGACACCTACTGAACAAAATGTCTTACTTGTTTTGCTTCACAATGATCTGGGGCAGGGGTAGGGGGCACTGGGTGAGGGCAGGAGTCGTCTCCATGGTTGCGTCTGCTGAGATGGAAAATGGGGGCATGGAGTCCATTTTACTAGCCTCTCAACGTTTGTTATATGTCTTGAAACTATAACCAAATTTTTCTTTTTTCTTTCTTGAGACGAAGTCTCACTCTGTCTCTCAGGCTGGAGTGCAATGGCACAATCTCGGTTCACTGCAACCTCTGCCTCCCGGGTTCAAACGGTTCTCCTGTCTCAGTCTCCTGAGTAGCTGGGATTACAGGTGCACGCCACCATGCCCAGCTAATTTTTTTTTTTTTTGTATTTTCAGTAGAGATGGGGTTTCACCATGTTGGCCAGGCTAGTCTCAAACTCCTGACCTCAAGTGATCCACCCACCTTGGCCTCCCAAGGTGCTGGGATTACAGGTGTGAGCCACCACACCCAGCCAATAAAACTTTAAGAAATTATTAACTAGAAGTGATTCTGGCTAATTGGTGAGAACTGGCTGTGGGGGTAAGAGCAGGAGCTCAGAGGCCAACAGGGTCTTTAGAAAGGGGAAGTAAGAGGACAGGCACGGTGGCTCACGCCTGTAATCCCAGCACTTTGGGAGGCCAAGGCAGGTAGGTCATGAGGTTAGGAGTTCGAGACCAGCCTGCCCAACAAGGCGAAACCCCGTCTCTACTAAAAATACAGATTAGCTGGGTGTGGTGGCACGCGCCTGTAGTCCCAGCTACTCGGGAGGCTGGGGCAGAAGAATCACTTAAACCCAGGAGGCGGAGGTTGCAGTGAGCAGAGACCGTGCCATTGCACTCCAGCCTGGGCGACAGAGTGGGAAAAAAAAATAAGAAAGAAAAGAAAAAAGGGCCGGGCGCAGTGGCTCAAGCCTATAATCCTAGCACTTTGGGAGGCCGAGACGGGTGGATGACGAGGTCAGGAGATCGAGACCATCCTGGCTAACACAGTGAAACCCCGTCTCTACTAAAAAATATAAAAAAACTAGCCAGGCGAGGTGGCAGGCGCCTGTAGTCCCAGCTACTCGGGAGGCTGAGGCAAGAGAATGGCATAAACCTGGGAGGCAGAGCTTGCAGTGAGCTGAGATCTGGCCACTGCACTCCAGCCTGGGTGACTCCAGAGCTAGACTCCGTCTCAGAAAAAAAAAAAAAAAAAAAAAAAAAAAAAGAAAAAAGAAAAAAGAAAGGGGAAATAAGCCCAAGGCGACGAAAACCACTATTAACCTCACACCCAAAGATGACCTTTCTTTTCCCCAAAACAGAACTGGCATCGTGCTTTACATATGGCTTCCAAGTCTTTTTTCCATTCAGCCTTATTTCATTAACTTTCCCATCTTCCTGTGACATCATTTTTAGGTACTGTATAATACTCCGTAGCATGGGCAGAACTGAATTGGTGGTGGGGCGCTAAGGCGGTTTCCAGTTCTTCACTATCACGACATTACTATGCCAAACATCCTTGTCGATGAATCTTCACTGTCTAGTTTCCCAGAAAACGATCTAGTTTTTTGAAGGGTGTGCACATTTTAAAGTCATCTGCTTGATTTTGCCAAATTGGCCTCCAGAGGGACTACTGACCGCACCTCACGAGCAGGGAGGCATATGTCTGTTTCCTCACATCCTGCCAACACTGGGCAGCACTGTCCTTTCGGATTGATTCTGGTCTGACGGGCAAGGAACTCTACGTCATTGTCAGGGCTGGTTTTGTGAGCCATTTTAGGCAGCCTTCGTCCATTCCTCCATCTGATCAGGCAGCCTGCGTGAGCTGGCTTCATCTGACCTGCTTTGAAGCGGCGCACACGGGATGTTTAATGAACAGCCGCAGGCAGTGGAGGAGGAGGGTCCCCGGAGCCTGGGACATCAGCTTTCAGTAGCATGTGAGCAGCTGCAGGAGCCCTGAACAGAAGCGGGGATGGCAGGCTGCTCTTCCCAAAGCTGCCTGAACTGCCCCAGTGGGGCCACCACCTCCCAAGGTGGACCTCCCTCCAAGAACCTCCTCTGCCCCTTGGCTCTGTTTCAGGTGGTCTGCCTTCGTCTTCACTTTCATTTTTCATGGTTAGGCCCAGCTCTTCCTCACATTTGTAGTGCATCCCGTGAAGTCTCGAGCGCTGAGGCAGGGGCTGTGGGTGTACTATGAGAGCATCAGCGGGAGTTCTCGCTTTGTGCTTAACCAGTCAGTCGAGTAGACAAAGAGTGTGACAGCCCCTCGTACAACAATCTGCCCTTCTTCCTGGGGTCAGTCTGGGCACAGAGCCCAGTAGGGCAGCCACCAGTGAAGGCAGCCAGTAAGCTCTGCGGCCGCCGCAGGGAGCACAGTGGAGCAGCGGCTCACTGAAGACCCAGTAAGTACAACGCGGCAGGAAAGAAGAATTAGGAGCCCTTTACAACCCAGTCAGGGATGACGGCCAGAACACACCCTGAAGAGCAAGGAAGGTGCTGGAATGGCAGATCGTGCACACGCAGACAGAGGCTGGCGGCCAGCCGGAGGCTCTGGCTCAGAAGAGGCGCATTTTCAACATCAAATTTGAAAGGGGTACTTTCAAAAAGGTACTCCGTGGTACCTTATGAATTTTATTTGAATGCTTTTATCTACTTAGAAAAATAAAAATAAAATCAATTAACACTGATCCCGATAAGGCACCCTCCCTCCTAGGAAAGCTCTTGGCACAAAGCATTGCCCTGCCTACGTGGCTGCCTGAAAGGCAGGCGCAAGATGCTCTGTCTCATTCATTTCCCAGCACTTAAAGGGCACTTGCCACGGGCCCTGGAGCTACCCACAGATTCCACAAAAGACACTGATCCACGAAATCACGGTTTAACAGGGCTAGCAGACGAAGGAGCGAAGTCATAAACTTAGGATATGGAGAAGGTAGCTTCAAATCTGTCTTGAAAGGATTAATTGTTAAGACCAAAAAGGTCAGGCACGGTGGCTCACACCTGTGATCCCAGCAGTTTGGGAGGCTGAGTGGGAAGATCACTTCAACCCAGGGGTTTGAGACCAGCCTGGACAACATAAAGAGACCTTGTCTCTACAAAAAAATTAAAAATTAGATAGGTGTGTTGGCATGTGTCTGTAGTCCTAGCTACTAAGGAGGCTGAGGCAGGAGGATCGCTTGATCCCAAGAGGTCAAGGCTGCAGTGAGCCATGATGGCATCACTGCACTCCAGCCTGGGTGACAGAGTGAGACCCTATCTCAAAAAATAAAACAGAAGGCAAAAAAATTGACGGTGGGTCCCCACTGGCTGTTTGGGGATAGAAAAAATCAAGTTAGATCCTTATCTCATACCGAGCACAAACCGATTACAGTTGGGATTAAGAGATGAAGGAAACAAAGTGAAGCCAGTCCTGAAAGAGAAGCAAGCACACACTCTTTACGGTCTTGGTGGGGAAACCCTTCCTCTTCCATACAGAAAGATTAAATTACACAAAAACCCCAATCCACTCTCTGTATTATCCATAAAACTGTCCTGTAAATCTAAATCTATTCTAAGATTTAAAAAAGGACTGAAAAAGTAAAAAAAGAAAAAAAATCCAGTTCACTGAAAGGGACCGTACATTAAGATTTACAAAGGACAATCTAGATAACCTTTGGAGAAAACGCATTGTAACATAATAAGCAACATGAAGATCAATAGAGTTGATAAGAAGATAAATTAACCAACAGGCAAGTGGGTAAGAAATACCAAAAGGTAATTTACAGTAAGAGAAACACAAAAGGCCAATAAATACACGAAAAGATACTCGATTTCACTGGCAATCAGGGAAATGAAAATTAGAACCACAGGATGACATTTTCCACTCACCAGATTGACTAAAACTCAAAAACAAAACTGAGAATATGCAGCATTAATGAAAATGCAGAAAAACACGCATTTTCATACCCATTTGGTGGTGCTACTAATAGGTCCAGCTTTACATACTTTAGGGTTGCAATTTCACTTCAAGGAATTTATCCCATAGAAATATGTGCACAGACGCCCAAAGCTCATAGAAACAGTCACTGGAAGAATGTCCAGTATTAGTAAGGGAGGACACCACCCCTCATCCTATCTTACGCCCAATTTCTGCCTCAAAGGAAATGTAGGAGTTTAAAGAAAAGACAGAAATGGAATCAGTAGTCAGACAGCCCAGTGCTGCATTCCAGGCCTGCTAGTTAAAAGACTGACCCCGACTTAACCGGTTTATGTTATCTACAGATTCCAGACATTGTATGGAAAAGCACTGTGGACATCCCTGTCCTGTTCTGTTCCATTCTGATTACCAGCGCATGCAGCCCCTGGTCACGTACCCACGGCTTGCTCAATCCATCATGACCCTCTCACGAGGGCCTTGCAGTGAGCTGAGATCGCGCCACTGCACTCCAGCCTGGGCGACAGAGCGAGACTCCGTCTCAGAAAAAAAAAAGAGTTGTCAGCCCTTAAAAGGGACAGGAATTGCTCACTCAGGGAGCTCGGGTTTTGGAGACGTGAGCTCGCCAATGCTCCCAGCTGAATACAGCCCTTTCCTTCCACAACTTGGTGTCTGAGGGGTTCTTGTCTGTGACTCGTCCTGCTACGTTAGGAGACTATAATGGCACACACTAGGGGAAGACTATGCAGCCGTGAAGAGAGTGAGGTTTACTGTATGTGTGAGAAGAGCCACCACGAACACCATGCCCTGGATGGAGCAAACGAGAAACTGGCTGGATGAGGTGGACGAGGG